CAGGAGGGTGTAGTAAGTTAAAGATGATACACTATTTTATACAAGGCACTTGTGTTTTGATATCTGGAGGGGATACTGGACCCAATCCACACAGACACTATAAAATGACTGTAAAGTGTGTGTGTGTCTGTGTGCGTGTGTGCATGTGTGCGTGTGTGTGTGTGTGTGCGCGCGCGCGCGTGCGAAGTGTATACATAGGTAAGCTTATATTAAGCTAAAGTCATCACACAGGAGAACTGTATGCGTTATTTTTTGTGCCACCAACTCAAACACTTGACAGAAACTTAAAGGTGGGATATTTATTCTGGCTCACAGTTTCAGAGGAATTCAGTCCATTATAGTTGGAGGGCAGAATAGCTCCATCAGTCAGGGCAATAGTAGCATGTTCACAGGGCAGCCCATGGGAAACAGAAAGCAAGCTGGAACCAGAAGTGGGCGTGACCTGCAGAAACCAACCCCTAATGACCTACTTCTGTCTTCCAAAGACTCCACAGCCTTCAAAATAGCATGACCACAAGTTGGGGAGCAAGAACACAGAATATCAGCGTGGTGGGGGGCATTCCAGACTTAAACTGTAACAACAGCTTGAGCATTGCTTCTTCTTTGCTTTTTTGAGATGGGGTCTCCCCATGTAGCCTTGTTGGGCCTGAGGCTCGCTCTCTCCACCAGGATAGCCTGGCACCTGTGGAAATCTGCCTGTCTCGCCCCACAGAGTGTTGGGGTAGAGTGTTGACGAGCACTACCATGCCCAGCTTTCATCCTTGATGGTGAAGAAAGTCAGTTTCCTAAGTGCCGAACAACACTCTTTATATTTGTCATTATTTAGAACAGTGGATCTCAATCTATGGCTTGCAACCCCTCTGGGGGTTGAGCAACCCTTTAACAGGGGTCGCGTATGAGATACCCTGCATATCAGTTATTTATATTACAATTCATAACAGCAGCAAAATTATAGTTAGGAAATAGCAACAAAAATAGTTTTATGGTTGGGTCACCACAACCTTAGGAATTGTACTAAAGAGTCACAGCATTAGGAAGGTTGAGAACCACTGGTTTTGGATATTAATTAATGCCCTAGGAGTTATTCACAGAGATTAGGGACACTGCTGCTACGCTCTGGGCAGCGCAGGAGGCCATCAAAGCCTCTGATTGTCTAAGGTATGCAGTGTGCCACTTCCTCTCTGGCAGCTGCTATCCTACACATATTGAACTTTGCCCCTTTGGACCGTCCTGATTCAGGGCTGCATTTCTAGTCTGCAAAGGGAGATTGACAAATACAGAAAAACCAAGGGCAGGCTATCTGTCCTTAAAGAAAGGACCTGGTAGGAGTCTGATATCGAAAATATAATCAAATTACTGAGACAGAGTTCAGATATCACGGTACTCGCGTCACTGGAGTTGTGATTCACGTTGTGGGGATAATGCTGTTTGGCTAAATTGGGGTTCTGTCTGCTCTGCCACACATCTCAAAAGTAATGAGATATATTTAGCTTAGAAATAGAAATAAAAACAGTACTAAAACCAAAACAAAACCTATCAGTATAGAGTTCTAGAGAAGACAAATACATTGTGTTCTTTCTCTTCACCAGCCAGAAGCGTTTTTCGCGTTATTGTACTTACTTATCATACACACGTTTGATGATGGAACATGACAAACACAGGATAAACCCGTCCAAGGAGATGAGTGTGTGTAGACGCATGATTTTCTAAGTGAGGGCCTTCTTCACCAATCTCACTGGACTTTGGCTTACCAAGGCACACTTTGGCCTCTGTGCCTGCACTCTGTATATTGGCTGCCTGTAGGTTGTGTCCTAAAATTTCACCTTTCTAGTGTTTTCTTGGAAGCTGGTGAGAAGTTCATTTCCAAGATCTTAAAACTGTCACTTGGGGCAGGGACAAAAATTTCTAAGATCTTCTTTATCATTTTCCAAAAGAAAGATTCAGTAAACCATGCTACAAATGTGTAATGTTTTTAATTCCAGAAAGAATCTCTTTCTTACTTTCAATTTTATATTCAGACTTGATTTCTAGAAAATATCTATTGTGATGAGTTATTTATGTTGCTCTGCTTGCTACATGGAAGAATAATTTGCTCTTTATTGCCAGCCCATGAGAAAAGATCTATCTTATGGATTTTACTTGGAGAGAGCAGGGCACAGAATCTGCATGACAGAGAGCTGAAGAATGTGACTTGTGGTTTTTCATGTGAACATTTGTGGTCATAGAGACAGTCATCAGGATTCATAGAACCTGAAAGCTAGCGTTTCCCAGCAGCAAAAGCTAGATGTAACATGACCACGTGGTTTGTGAGGGGGAATGGCACTCTCTCCTCTCTGCAGTTTAATGGAGAAAGACACTTTGCTGTTGGAGCTGAGTTGCTTTGTGTGTGTGTGTGTGTGTGTGTGTGTGTGTGTGTGTGTGTGTGTACCTCTGTAGCTTACTATTAATGAAAATAATAAAAATTACACAAATAAATGTTGACTTTACTCAGGCAGTTCTCTATAGATACAAAGATATCTTCTCATTTACTACTGTAGCCATTTGATGTATATATTTTACAGTTACAGAAACTTAATTCTTGAGAAATGAATTTAAAAGAAAATATCACACAGCTAGTTTGTGACAAAGCTAGAATCAGATGTCAGATCTCATTGCGAAAGTGTAATAAAGGTGAGGAATTTGACTTTAAGAGTTCCGAGGGGGTTCACAAGAAGGATCATATCAGACTGCCACGGGTAACAATGTTACACATTCTATCGCAACTGGGAAGCTCTTATGAGCTAAGAAATGCTCCAGTATTCAGTGTTTCAGTGAGGGTTTGTGCTTCTTCATGAATACAGATAAGAACTCAAATGCTTGTTTTCAAATAATTGTGTATGACAGTACTCTGTTTTTTGATGAACAAGAAAACACTAGTGTCTTGCTCATCACAATGGCCACCATACAAATGAATTCCTGGAGCTTTTTGGTCCTGAGTAATATACATTACTGGTGGAAGGAATTGTTGGAGGAGGCCGCTTGTTCATCCTGGCCGCCCAGAATCAAAATAACCAAACAGAAACTTTACTAATTAAAGCACTGTTTGGCCCATTAGCTATAGCTTCTTATTGGCTAACTCTTATATTAATTTAACCCATTTCTATTAATATGTATATCACCATGTAGCCGTGGCTTACCGGCAAAGATTCGGCATGTCTGTCTCTGGCGGCTCCATGGCATCTCTCTCTGACTCTGCTTTCTTCCTCCCAGCATTCCATTTAGTTTTCCCCACCTAGCTCTGTTCCCCTACAGCTCTGCTATAGGCCCAAAGCAGTTCCTTTATTAACCAATGAAAGCAACATATAGACAGATGGACCGCCTACACCAGAGAATAAACACAGTTTTGATACATTTTTCCCTCTAAAACTTTCAAAGACTTCCCCTTACATTTCAATTACAACATCCCAATCTTTACCCCCCAAGAATTTGTGCCACAACCCCAGCTCATATTACTCTCCAACACCATGTGGTTGTGTGTAGCTTTTACTTGAAAAGTCAATCAGAAGGTGGCAAAGTGAGTGGCAGCCACCCATTGAGAAGGGATGCTAAGGATTGAGAAATTGAGCGTTTACCTTATCTAAGTCACAGGTTAATAGAAGATGCTGCCACCAAGCTTAGAAGAGTCTCTGGCACATGATAGATGTCCCTCAGGTCCTTTGTCCATCAGCCACTTAGAAAGTGGAGAGATCTTCAGATAGAGACTACCCATACTCCATGTTTGTATTACTACACACACACACACACACACACACACACACACGGATATAGGATCAGATAATCATTGATAGTATAACACGCATGTATTTCAATGTTTATAATGCAAGATTTATACGTATAGAATATTTCACCGAAGAAAATGCTAAAGAGATAGAGTAATAAATATGAATGCCTATGAAAAGAAAAGGTTCCATTTCCTCGGAAGACCACAAGAAAACAGTTTTTCATGGCAACTGCATGGGCTTATGGCATCCAACAGGAATAGTTCCCTGACAGTTGGCATGTGATGTTGTTTCTGGAAAGATGGGACTGTCCACTTAGCCCACACAGGGAAATGACCAACGTGAAGATGCCACCATAGGCCCACTTCGTGAACCAATGAGTTTTATTGAGTTGATTATCAGAATATGAGTGAGGGGTAACTTACAGGAGCAGAAATGACTCACTGACAGCTACACCCCGAAAGCCCACCCCAGCACAGGTGACAGCTCATGAAAGCTGGAGACCAGGAGCACACTGTATAACCTGTGGGCACTCAGCATGTTGGAGGTCATCCAGTGGGTCTGAGTCTCTCCCAGGTCATTCATCTACTGCCTGCTTCTTCTGGAATGCTAGACTGGCCTATGCTTCTTCCAGACACCTGGGCTTCTCTGAGAGTGACTGTCACAACCATTACTGTTTACATTCTCTTGGAAAGGGAGGAGCCTAGATAATCTGGTCAGTTTCAGGGACTTCCTGAAGCTATTTTGAGTTATTTACTTCCTGGCTCATACCTTCGCAATGGAGTGTGGCATGCTCCCTTAGAACATCCTGCTGTGTCTCCCCTTGTAAACATCCTGTCCTAAAATATCCCATTGCTTCACTTCCCTTTAACATCCTCCCAGAAGGTTCAGAAGTTTCCATCCAAGAAGAAAGGACAGTGGGAAACTTGTACGCGTGGGATTTATTACCAAAGGGTGGGGTAGAGGAAAATGAGCTTTTTATTGTAAGTCTTTCGAACAGGGTCGATCCACGTGTCCTGGAAACCTTTAAGGCCTCCCAAGAGAACTTAGAGCTAAACTGTATAGCGTGTGTGTGTGTGTGTGTGTGTGTGTGTGTGTGTGTGTGTGTGCTAGTGCACATGTATGTGCAGGCACACTGGAGGACAGATAGCAACCTCAAGTGTCATTTCTTAAGAACCATCTACCCCGTTTGGGGGCTTTGTTTGTTTGTTTGTTTGTTTTTGAGACAGGTCTCACCTAGGGCTCACTGCTTAGTCTAGAACAACTAACCATCTACCTGTATCTGCCTCACCAGCACTACCTCCCAGGCTACCACCCTGACGTATTATACAGTACCAGGGATTGAACCCGTGACCCCACACTTGTACAGCAAACACTCAGCCATCTCTCTCTCTCCAATCCTATTTAATTCCTTTTCTAATGTTTTTGTTTGTTTTTTACTGCTGTGCATATTTATCTGGCAGCTGATCTTCTTAAAGAATTATCCCATGCTCTTAGATTTCTAATTTGTAAGCTAATCCCACTTCCTTTCAGAAAGCTAGCTTCATACATCCTAAATAACTCTGGCCAGTAGCCTGGGATGTTTGGAATGCCGTAGCATCTCATCCCACATTTTCCTTTGCTCTCAGCTTCCTTCTGGGTAAGGCAGACTTAACCACTTTTAACTGACCTCTGAGAAATTTATTTCCAAGCATAAAGTTGTAAATATGATGACCCATCTTAGATCTACCAAAGGGCCTCTTCCACTCTGGATGAAATGCCAATGGGCTACGGCTTACAAAATCCTTTTCCATTGGTGTTCAGTTTTCTTTATTTTTGATTCATTTTTTTTACTTGCACAAAATTGGCTTTTGCTTTTTCAAAAGGAGAGATTTGAGGCGTTATAATACAATGAGTTTTTCTGTTTGTGCCTCGAAACCAGAATTTATCCGGGCAAAGCCTTAGAAATCAGTGCTGCCTCCGTGTCACGTGTCACAGATGGGTTGGGAGGGTTTGCAGGGAGGGACCGAGAAGAATCGACGAATGTGAAGGGACAGAGACAGACAAAAGAAACTGCTTTGTTCCTCAAGGTTCTAGTGGGCTGAGTCATAAAATCTGAAGTGTTGTTCTCCAAGAGGCTGTGTTTGATGAAAAGCCAGAAGCAGGAAGTGCCATATGCCTTGCACAGTGCCTCTTGGTCTGTGGGAGTAACACTTGGTGGCTGGAAGGTCACAGTGCGAGGACCTGCTTGATGAGTACAGGTTGCAGTCAAGGCTGGAGACTTTCCAGGAACACACATTCCTTATTGCGAGTCTTTCCCCACTGATTGGTTATGCTGACTGTTAACGGGGCTGCGTCACTTGAGAGTGAGTTTTGATTGTTGTGACCAAGGCAAGGTTGAGACTTTTAAAATTTAGGTTGTTGTTGCTTTTAAAAATTATTTCCAGAGAAATAAAGCTACAGAGCTCCTGGCAGTGGTGAATCGGGTGTTGAATTGCCCGTGTGTCATCACTGAGCATGCCTGAGTTGTTTAACAACTGCCAACATGTCAAGATAGGCAAGAGAAATAAGCATGCTCCAAGTGGTGCCCACTACACTGCAGGCTCTACACAGGTTTCTTACAGCACTGAAAACTTCCAAAAACCCTTTGCGATTCTTAGCTGAGAAGATGGAGACTCAGAGGTTCAGCAGCCTGTTCCTGAAGGCAGCATTGAACCCAAGTCGAGACTTGCAGCTCCTCCTTCTTTCCCAGTAAGCGCGCTGCTGGTGGGTCTCGGTGCTATGCTGACAGCTTATCAGAGTTGTCCACCTGCTCCAAATCCTGATCACCCACCTTCCCAGTTCCATTAGCCCTGCCACAGCAAATCTGACCTTTGGTATCAAATGTTTTCTGTGACTTCTCTAAAATGTCCTCCTATGTCACTAAAAGGTCAAATATTTTTCTCTGGAAAAAAAGCCTGCTTAGCCACTTGAAGTTCTTCATTACCTTTGGGATTCTCCATTTCAGTGTCTCACCGTGCATTTCCAGATACCGAACTTGAACCTGCTGTTTGTTCATGTCAGATGTTTGTGATCCAATGTTGTTGGATAGTCACTGGGGTTTTTCCCAATGGGCTTAGCTCAGAATGCCATGTAAACAGGCTTTGCACTGACTAAGTACAAAGTTCCCTGGAACGTCCTTTGATCACTGAAATGTCAAACCAGAACATTCAGACCAGAGAAGACATGCCTACCAACTTTGAATAATTCCTTTGGTTAAAAATGCAACTGTATAGATCAGCTAGTAAACATGTACCTGACGGCCACAAGCTGGTACACCCCTAAACAGTGACCTCAACTCCTGCTGCCTCCCGACATTCACTTTTAATAAACATCTCCCACATTCTAAGTAAGCCCTGGAAATCAGAATTTGCAAAACATCATAGGAAGGGCTATCTTAAATGACCTGAAGAATTGGGGTAATATTTTTTTGGGGAAACAGTCTGAATTGAAACAGTACCTATACTTGAAACAGAAGGGAGGGCTGAGAGTTTAACTCCAAGGAAGAGAACTTCCCTATTCTTCCTGAGGATTTATATGGAATTCCCAACCTTAGAGGAGATGCTGACGTGCAAGGCCCCTGCATCCTTCCTGAGACACAGTAGCCATCGTAATGAATACACATTGCCATGCTGGGGTTGCCATCTGCGTGAGGCATGATGCCCAGGGCAATTAAATTTGCCTGTTTTTTATTACTGAGACTAAATGCTTGGCCTGGGTTCATGCAGAAAATAAGTAATTCCATTACATGTGATTCACCTTGAAGCAACCCTCGACATTGATGAAGACTCCAGCTGAAACTTCCCATTGGTTACAGAAATAACCCAGTTAGCCAGCCTTTATTAGCTCCCTCTCTTTACCGGGAAACACACATATTTCAACATGCAAAATATAGTCTTAATGTTTAACTAGTGCACAGCTCAGTTTTCCTAGAAATGTCTTTCCATTACAAAAAAAAAAATCACACGGTGGGGGGGGGACGTTACTTTTGATAAGAAGGCAAAAATAGCTGTAAAAGCTAAGAAAGTTTTCCAAGGTCAAGAGGAGCAAGGACTCAGTCTGACAGAGGGGTCTTTAGAATGCAGTTTCTCTCCATGCCTCCCATCAGGGTGGAGAAGATGGAAAACAGTGGAGTTCTTAGATTCTCTCTCCAGCAAGGCCCCTGGATCCACCCATCTGCACTTCCTCAGCTAGGGTCCCAAGTGCCTGCCTGGCTGGCTTGTCCTGTTTTCCTTGTTACTTGTTTTTGTCTTTGTTTTTGGTTTGGGTTTTAGTTACTTCCCCCATGGGTTCTAGAGATTGAATTTAGGTCCTCTCTTTACCAGCTCCCCTCGTGTAATACTCTTATAGCAAGAAGGTTCTCATCTGTTTGAAGTTGTTCAGATCGTGTTTGTTCTAATTAGGTGGCAGGTGCTTCGGTTAAAAACGCCAACCAGCACAATAGTTTCTGTTTCAAATTCAATGTTTACAAAGCATTTAAAGGACTCCTTTGTTTTTCATCTGTAGCCTATGGAAAGGAATGTGTTTACTTGAGGATGCAGGAGGTGACTTGATCCCTAGCTGTTGTAGGTAGTCTGAGAGGGAGAGGAGGAAGGGGTTCCCGGCCCCTGACCTGTGAATTCTGCAAATGCTGATTCACATGACAGTGCGCCAACCGCAAGACACACAGGGTCTTCTCTTCCACCGAGGCTGGGCAAAGCAAGTTTCAAAATGGCGCCTGCCCGCACCTGCTGTGGAACTTGAGGAAAGGACCTTGGAGCCAAAGAGCCACGACCTGGGAAGAGACTTGTGCAAAGACTAACCCTTCAGACAATCTTAATGTTCACAACCGTGTTAGTGTAATCTTCAGATGACACTAGAGAGCGGATGACTTAGATGATGCCGAGCTAGTGGTCACTAATCCTCACAGCGGAAAGACTTTGACAACAAATCATTCGGGCCTCGGGACGGAACTAGAACAAGGATGGAGAGCAACATCACCCTGTGTCCCTAATGTGGAGAACATCTGCTATGTATCCAAAAGGTTTGAAGAAGCCGCTGATATGGGACTCTGGAGATGCAGAAACTTACCAACGTCGGACATGATGCAGATCCCAGTAGACAGTGCAGCTCAGTACATGATGTAACTGTATGACAGCTCAGCAAATGATGGGCACAAGAGCTACAGGGACTCCTGCGAGACAAGGGGCAGTTAGAATGTCTGCTCACTTTGTGGTGTCTTGTCTCAGTGGTAAGTCCTGCAAGGCGTGTTTCTGTGCGACCGGGACAATGATAAAGAGAGTCTCAGTAACTCATCTGATTATGTATCTTTTTGATCAGCCCTTCCTAAGACTCTGCACAGAAGAAACCAAAACAGCACCACGGCCCCCAGTTAGTGTCAGAGGCTTCATTGTGGTTGTTCCAATACTGAGTCAAGAGTACTGCCTGACAGTGAACAGGCAAGAGGTGGAGAGCCAAGTCCTAGTGAGTCTTTGGTGTAGAAAACGGTGTGAGGAAAGCAAGCATGAATGCACAAAGCAATAGAGGGCATGCAAGGTCTTGACCCAAAGGTGGAACAAATCATCCCATTCCAACAGTAATGATGAGATGAGCCCCAAGCCAGGTGAGCCAGGTTAACTTTGTGCTAGAAAACAGAGGGAAGACCCTCATGCACGATGAAACTGACCTCGGCACTTATGAATGAAGCTGAAGAACCTGAACTTCTAGAGGAAAAGGAGTCTGCAAATTTGAGCCTTGGGAGGAAGGTTTGGTGCACACAGATTAGTGCAACAAGCAGAAGGAGCCACCAAAATAAGAGCCCCTGAAGAATCATCCGAAGATGCGACACAGTATGAGGAAGGGACATCCATAAAAGTCCCAGTTCAGAATTAGACAGATCCAGCACCATCAGACGGCTTCACAGCAGAGTTGCTGGGTTCCGCTACAGGAGGAAGGACTGATAGCAATCCTGATAGCCCTGGAGAGCAGAGCAGCCCACCTTGTCTGTAAAGGCAAGGGACCAGGAACTTGAGATCAAATTAGGAGTGAGACTGTTGGAAATACACCTACCTAACACCAAGACTAAGCCCCCATCTTAAGTACCTGGCCTTTATTTCGGCAGGAACCATCAGCCAGAGACTCTGCTTGCAGTGACACAGATGACAGTCAGGAGGACCTAGACCATATCCCGGGTGCAGGTTGTCAGGCAGGAGCGACGCTGGTGATAGTTGCTTTGTTACTGCCACATTCCAAATTCCTCTGTGAATATAAAAGAAATGATTTTATTTTGGATCCTTTGACCAGTTAAAAGGCCACCAGTAAAGATGGGTTATAAAGCCGTTGCAACTTCATGGCCCCACCGTTTCCATGGATTCTCCTGTCTCTACCTCCCAGATGAACAGCACTGAGTCTGGTTTTACGTGAGTTCTGGTGACCCAGCCTCCTCATAACTGCAAAGCAAGTGCTTTATCCACTGAGCCATGTCCACAGCCCATACAAAATACTTTGAAATTTTTGCCACGTATAGAGAACTATAAAATGCCAGGTAATGTTTTTCCAAACATTCAGATGTGTGAATTTGCATCAATACTAATACTCATTATAGTGAAAATGTTGGTTCAGATCAGTTTCTAGCTTGTCACAAAAATTGTTCATCACTACACTGTTGACAGATATCACACAGAAGTGAAACCAAGGCTTTTTGAGACATCAAGTCACATGCTTCCTTTCCTTGCATTTGAAAGGCCTCTTCTTTAAGACCGTTGAGCAAAGGGTTTTAAGCCAGCCCTGTCCTTCACCAAGGTGATGACCCCACGTGGAGTGCTAATACCATGGTATTTACCTTCAGAGCTTCTGAGAACAGATCAAAGGAGCTAGCAGCTGAGCCAAGTGTTTCTGGAAGCTTCGCATATACCTGACAAAGGAAAGTGCTTGTTCTCTGCAAAGTCTCCTGGAAACATGAACAGAGTGGAGGTCCCAAATCTATAACTGCTTCCAGAAGTGTTCCTTTTGTTATCACAATACAACATTGTTGTCTACGGGGGAGAATCACAACTGAACTTTTTAAAAATATCACCAAAAATTATTTCAGAACATTTTAAGTAAAGGTATGTATTGTTCTTTTTTTAAAATAATGATAATGGGATGGCCCCGGGTGGCTCGCGGAGTCCTACAAGGATGGCCGTGAGTCCCTGCAGCGCCATGCGGCCAGGGGAGTCAGGCGGGCGGTTACGGTGGATAAAAGGCTCATAGGACATAGTATTATTTAAAGAAGAGGAAGACATTTATTGCTTAAAGAAGAGAAAAACAGAAAGAACAAAGACACACGTACACATGAGACGAGACAAACACGCACATGCACGCACCCACACACACACACCAGAGAGAGAGAGAGAGAAGATGGCGGCGGGAGGAAGGTCAAAAGTGGCTGGGATGGGCGTGGTTAATTCTTAAAGTGTCCCAATGGAATAACATTCCCGGATCCTTTTTATAATAAAAAGTAGAAGGTTAGACATTACAGGTTGAAGGAATTGGGGCGGCGAATTCTCAAGACTGCTTCCGACTGATAAAAAAAAAAGGCCGGGGGGGGGGGGGCGAGGTAAAGCCGAGAGAAGCTGGGTGTTGGTCACATCCTGGCATAGCTGGTCTCTGCTCCCGACAGGACAGGTGTCTGTGGCATGGAAATGTCTGGTGTCCCTTGGACCTGGTTAGGGTATTGGCAGAACAGAGGACAAAGTTAAATTGAGAAAAAATTTTAGGACCAGGGAATTGAGAGGTTTGTATCTGACCTGTTTACGGTGGGTTTTTTAATTCGGCTCCCTGGAACTTATAAGAAAAACAGAAGTTTTAGACATATATATTATATTAAGAACTCCTTGGGTTGGTAAAAACAGAAATTATAATGAAAAGTATTTTTATTTGGTGAGACAACCTGGCAAAACCTCTCAGCTATCAGACTGTCAGAGATCTTTGAGAAGGATAAGATTTTACTTGAGTTACTGATAAAAAATGACAGAGAACTTACTTGGTTGGCACCCAGAGCTACTCTTTGGTCCTCCCTGGTCGCTGAAGGTTGCATTTGACCTTTGTTGTTTAATGTAGAGCCAGTCAGACTTTTGAAGACCCTGTGGACTAAGAAATCTTTAGGAAGACAGGTCTACCTTACCTGCGCAGCTAGACTGTCGATTCCAGTGATCATGTCCACATTTGGAGGTCTCCAGTTTAGGTGATAGGCAGGTTTTGCCCAATGGTCAGTGCTTGGCAGTCGAAGCAAACTGCAGATGGATGCTGGTCAGTGACGTGACCGTTTGTCTTTTGTCTTCTTGGAGGAAACAGAGTGCTTGCTAGGAGGATATTGAGTTGATGGGCATACACAGTTATTTAGGCCTGAAACGTCTGAGACATTGTACTTTGTTTCTTTCACGTTTCCCCCCCCTCTCATTGCAAAATAGCCTGGCTTTTGAACTCTTACATTTCTTTTCTGTTGCACTAAAATGCACATAACATCCAGTTTTCTGCTTGGGTCATTTTAGCATACATAATCTCTTAGAACAAACACCACTATCTAGATCCAGAATTTTCTGTCATCTCAAGAGGGTCTCTGTCATTCTCTTGTCCCCATCCTTCTACCTAGCCCCATCAACATCTACCCTCTATGTTGACAGATTTGCCTTTGCTAATATTTCTTATAAAGTTGCAGAATAGGTCATGTTCTCTATGTTTATCTGTTTTCCGTTATCACAGTGACTTTAAGGCTTTTTTATGTTCTATCAGGTGTCAGCACTTAATTCCTTTTTAAGGCTGAATAATGTTCTGTTGTATAGATATACCACATTTTTACTTGTTCCTAGAGAAATATTTCATCTCCATCTTACTTGCAGAATAATATAAACTAAATAATGAGACATATCTTTAGAGGTTAAAGGCTTTCATAAAAATACAGCATCTCTGAGCAAATCTAGCGGGGAGAAATGTTCATTCAGAACCCATGAGTTAGTGCTGTTCTTCCATCTATAGATTCGGGATTTTTCTCCTGCAACATTTCCTCACACCACCCCTCAGACACATTACTGGAAGAGAAAATGCCAACTACATTTTCACAAAGTTTGTAAGATAGGCTAGTGAAATGGTTCAGTGCTGAGAATGTTTACCATTCAAACAAGAGGACCTGAGTTCAAATCCCCAGCTCCCACGTAAAAAAAGAAGTGTACCTATAATCCCAGAACTAGGAGGTGAAGACAAGCAGATACCTGGGAGCTCTGTGCCCAATCTTTCCTGCTGAAATGGCAGGCTTCCCGTTCAGTGAGAGACCCTGTCTCGAGACAATGAAGGAGGGCCGTAGAAGGAGACACCTGTTATCCTCCTCTGGCCTCTGCTTGTACACTCACAGCACGTACGCCCATACACTCACGTGTTTAAAATCATAAGTGAGCTCACATGTACACACACACACACACACACACACACACACACCATTTAAAGAGTGTTTGTAAGACATTTTAAAAAGCACATAGAGAAGCCCTCAGTGACAGTGTCTGCTTATTATGTCAATGATGGAACTCCTTCTTGCCCTGGATTTTGGGGCCAGCACTGTCAAATTCTGTATCCGTTGTTCTGTTTAATTGTGCAGTAGCATCATACTCAGAATTGTCTGAATTGAGATAAACTTTCTATCCTTTTTTTAAAGGCCTATTTGAACGTGGTGGCACATGACTTTAATCCCCGTTCTCAGGAAGCAGGGACAGGTAGATCTCTGTGAGTTCGAGACCAACCTGGTCTACAAATTGAACTCTAAGATATCCAGGGTTGTTACATAGAGAGACCCTGTCTTGTGGGGGTGGGAGGGCTCTGTTTTTACTATTGTTCCTTCAAAACCTGACTGGCTTGTCTCAAGACACCGGAGGAAGCTAGCAGGACGTAAGTTAGATAGAGGATCAGAGGCCAGCTCACCACAGCTCAGCCAAGACCACAGCTCTGGAGCTTCCATGAAGGTGGCCTTGATCCCATGGCTCAGAGAAGAACTCTTCTCACCCTGGGTCTCACAGCAGGCTAATCTTCTTGCTGTGGACCCCACCATTGGCAGAGGGGCATTGCTTTAAAACAAAACAAAACATTTTTGTTGTCCTTTTCTTAATAAAGAATAGTTGACCCAAATCAATGCTCTATACCCAAAACAGGATAGAAATTGACTTTAAAATTGCTCAGGCTTTCTGAAGTCAGAATTGGAAAATTATTAGTTTCCTTTTAAATCGTTCAAATTTATTAATTTGTTTTTGTGAGTATGGGTAGGGGTGCACGAAGGTACATGCGTAGGGGTCAGAGAAAAGCTTGTGGGAACTGGTTCTTCCTTCCACCATGTATGTCCCAAGAATCAAACTCGGGCTGTGAGGATTGGCGGCAAGCCTCTTTACCCTCTGAGCCATTGTGCCGGCCCCAGTGTTTCTTGAGCTGACACGAAATGTTTTTACCTTGGTACTCCAATTAATATCCTTGAGAATCAGTTCTCCCGTCTATGACTGTGGGGGCTGAGATGGGGGTGGAGGAGTGTGTGCATAATCTGTTCTTTTCCACCTTAGCAGGGAGGGGTTCGGGGCAGGGAAGTCAGTGGGTAAAGTAGAGGAATTTGCCCTGCACCCTGTTTTCTTTGCACCCTCCTCCTCTTCTCAAGTCTTTCCACTCGGCATGGAGGGGCCACTCTTTAATGCTTATTTAACAATTTGACTGTTTCCTGAAATGTCACATATTTATACGTCCCTTTCTCTATTCCATGCGTACATATATTCTGTGTGTTAGAAACAGGACTGTCAGTGACACTAACGGTCCAGGTTGGCCTAGGATTTTAAGAGTGTGTGATTCCTTCTCTTATTGTCACTTGTTATAAACCCAAGACTGAAACCCAAAGAGCAGAAGCAACAGCAAGCTCTGCAGCCAGAAACGATGCTGGGATGAACTCTGCATCCCCCAAGTCTGCGCCGGTGCAGTTTTTCCTGGAAAACAGATAACTTGGGACCGTCATGACCTACCTAGGTTCCTACTGGCTGCTGCCCAAATGAGTTAATGGGACGTGACAGTTCTGTTGATGATACAGGACTTCCTGGGATCTGAAAGCTGTGGTGACTCCTGATCTGTTTTCGAGGACATGCCGTCTCGTATAGGTAGAGTTACCAGAGTAAAGGACTTGAGCATGTGACTTAGTGAGGGTTTGCGCTGTGCTCCTGAAGTCACCGGCAGTGACTCATGAGTACCACAGTCATTACGAACCTAAAGCTAAACTGGAAGCAGCAAGAAGCTGAAGCTTGGGGTAAGGGGGGAGAAGAAAATGATGGTTATGTAACCGTGGCATTTGTTCCTGTGGGGGAATAAGACAGAGAGGAGAAGAGAGAGGGATTTTTAACAAAGAAAACCGAAACGGAATGGGGTGAGGGCAAGCGTTCCTAAATATTATGAATAGTTTGAAATGTCAGCCCGTTCCCCTGTAAACTCATTATGTGGAGAGGAATAGGGAAGAGTTTTGTGTGGGGAACGATTTTTAAAAAGAGCATTGACATTTTAAAGACCTAAACATCTTAAATAGAATGAATATTAAATGCAAAAATCGAGCTGTGCTGAGACATTTTGGAAACTATATTTGAGCAGCATCCTTAGAGACAGCTAATGGGTGACTCAGAGTCTCGGCTGACTCACGGGCCTTGAGAAAGATGGTAGCAAATGCCCGGTCCTGTCTACTTCTCTGGTTGTTCTTCCTGCCAGACAAATCTTGCAGCTTCAGGGGCCATATTTTGGCTTGGTTGGCTGGTTGGGTTTTTCATTTTGTTGTTTTAGAGGAAGGGCCTCACTCTGTAATCCAAACTGGCTTCAGACTTTCGCCAACCCCCTGTCTCAGCCTCCCAATTGCTGAGATAATGATGATAAGCCACCCTGCCCAGCAATATCAGGTTTGTAGTTGGCTTCTAGCTCCCAGTACAGCTTTCCCTACAGTTCAGATTGCACAGACATCTGTTATAGGAAAACAGCACTTGCCAACATAAGAAAGCCAGCCACATGCGCACCTGTGGACCGCATAAGAGATGGAATACATAGGACATGGGGTGTTGTAAGAGGAGTGGGCCTGCTTTTTGTCCCACCACCCGGCTAACTTAACCCCCGAAACAACCACACAGAAATTGTATTAATTTAAACACTGTCTGGCCCATTAGCTCTAGCCTCTTATTGGCTAACTCTCACATCTTGATTAACCCATTTCTATTAAATCTGTATATCACCATATGACTGTGGCTTAGCGGCAAGATTCTAATGTACGTCCATCTCAGGCCAGAGATTCATGGCGTCTGCCTGTCTCTGCTTTCTTCTTCCCAAAATTCTGTTCTGTCCTCCCCGCCTACCTCAGCTCTGCCCTATCAAAAGGCCAAGACAGTTTTTTTATTCAACCAATGAAAGCAACACAAATACAGAAGAACCTCCTACACCAATGGGGAACACGTAGGAGATGGGAGGTCTCCACGGGTCCTTGACAAGCAAGAATGGAAGACCCAGACTGGGTTCAGTTCATGTGTCTAGAAGAAGGGGGCCTTCTTGCCACACTGCTGTCTGAATGGTGCTTTCTTGGAACATAACTTTAATCAGCAAATGTCATCTGATACCTCTGTAAAATAGGCAGGCAAAGGGAGGGGCCACACATGCAAACTGGGTGGCCCTGGCTTCTAGACTAGGAAGGCTCACAATCCTCAGAGAATCTGAAATAGCTAATGGGCAGCACCACTGATATATTAATACGTACAAGAGCATCAGTCAGATTGATAGGTCCTATCAGTGTGTGGCGTTGGGGCCCGACCTTCACGGATGAATTGGAATTTTGAGTGTTGGCAACATAAGCAGCGCATCTCAACCAGAGATGAAGATCCTGAGGAAGAGATGCTGGAGTACCAGTGTGGGGGTGTGCTCAGGGAATAGTTAGTATTCCGGTCTTGCCGTGATGCTAAAGATGAGATGGAAGTGCAGTACAGAGAGACGGGGAGAGAGGTGTGCACAGCTCTCCTGGTATGGCTCATCTCTCCGCATTTTAGGATTACCAAATCTCAAGTACAGATCCACCCTGGAAATGGCTATTCTAAATCTGTGATTCAGCTTCTTGGCAAAGTCTTGATCTTCCCAATACATAGCAGTCATCTAAGAAAAGCCTGTGATCTTTCCCAGTTACTGCATCCTTTTGTTGCCTATGAGTCGAAGAGCTTCCCCTGCCGCAGCCCTCATAGACACCTGTGGGAGCTTCAATAATGAATCATATTTGCATATTCACATGCATAGACATCTGCGGACGCTGCTCTCTGAATACACAAATTTCACAGCTTTGTGTAGCAACTTTCCCTTGTCTTTTCAGGACTGGAGTGTGTCACGACTCCTTGGGGGTCAAACAACCCTTTCACAGGGGTCATCTAAGACCGTCAGAAGACACAAGTATTTACATGACAATTCATAACAGTAGCATAGCAGCCACCATGGAGTAGCGATGAAAATAATTTTATGGTTAGGGTCACCACAACATGAGAAACAACTGTATTAAAGGGTCTCAACTTTAGGAAGGTTGAGAACCTCTGCTCCAGGACCTGGTCTGTGCTAGGCAGGTGCTTGACCACTGAGTCATACCCCTAATACCCCCAGTCTTTTTTTCTTCTTTTTCTTTACCTTTTTTTTTTTTTAATCTTTGAGACATGGCTTCACAAAGTTGCCCAAACTGACCTTGAATTCACTCTGTAGCAAAGAAGGAACATTGAATTTGAAGTCCCTGGCCTCTGTTTCTGGAGTCGTGTGTGTGGTAGAGGTCACCAGGCCTGGCTGCCCCTTCCAGGATACCTGTGCTGCTGGCTGCTTTCTGACCCTTTGCTATCTTCCCACAGGACTGAAAAAACGCACAAGGAAGGCCTTTGGAATACGGAAGAAAGAGAAAGACACTGACTCTACGTAAGTACTTTAGAGTTTGCCTCTCTGGGCAAGCTTTGTGCTAAGACCCTGCTGTAGTTGGTGCTTAATGAGTGACCCAAAGTCTCTTGATAGCATGAATTTGTTTTTCACTGCTTTCCCCAGTGTTGAGCACAAATACTTCTTAGACTTGTGCTTTTGAAGGGTTGAGATCTTTCATCGCGTGTTCAGATTTTTTTTAATAGTGTACTTTTTACTGCCCCGTATCTAAATCTGTCACTTCATGCAGAAGGCAGAAAATGTGGCTATTACCATTTGTAGAGGCTAAAAACACCTAGTGCACTTCTGGATTTATCAGCATGACCTGACCCAAGAGAATAACGTGATAATTGGTAAAGACAGGTTCTCTCTAGCCCCACCCACAAACGTGCCCTAGGTGACACCCAAAGCTTGCTCTTGAGGTCCCAGGATTGGGCAGGTAGAACTGTAAAACCAACAGAATGAACAAGAGCCTCAGTAAGAAACCAATGCCCCATACAACTGTGGGGTCGCTTTGATGCAGTTGAACAGTCCTACTCAAGAAAATGAATTCCCTGTGTGCCCCGACCCTGAAGAGTTAGTAATGGAACATGTTCATTCCACTTTGTTCTTATTTAACCATATTGAATGTTCATTCAGAAGCTGGCCATACACAAAATCTTAGATGCATTTTCAAGCTGTACAAGTAACATCATACATGTGGTTCAGTTCAGTTGCCAAGAACATAGGATCGCAGCCCTTGCCTGGTGTGAGGAGAGCACTGGTGAGCAGCTACAACTGGCTGTAAAAAAAAAGTGAGGTCTGGGATGGCTGCCCTGTATCAAAATGGAATCCCAGGAGGCTCCTTCTTCACCCGGCATGCCTGGAACAGAACAATCAGGAAAATAACAGTTTTGTGCCCACAGCCGAAAGTAATGAATTATTTTCATCTTTAGCTGTTTCATTTTCATTTTCTCTAAATGTAAATCTTATCATAGGATGCTTAGCATTTTCTCGTGTCCTTCCATCCAAGAATATATAATTCAATCAATGAAGACTTGCACAAATTAAAAAGTCTTTCCTACGACTAAACGAGGCAACATGTAACGTGCCCAGCGGGCTCCTTCCTATTTAGCGTCAGCTGTTTCTAGTCTGACTGGTATAGACTGATAGTAATTAAAATGGCAATTAATTAAAATGGAATTTGATGGAAAGTTGAAGGTAAGAAAGTGCACATTTGGCCTGATGCTTCATGGCAGGAGGGCCTTGAGTCCGGCCCCCTAAAAGATGAGAGAACGTCTTTCACACAAATGCCATAGCAAAAGTAAAAGCAGGGAGGTGGGAAATCTAGCAGGTATTCAGGACAGAGCAAATGGACAGAGAGTGTGCCTGTGAGCCAGAGACAGGATGGAAAGCAGAGGAGGTCGGCTAGGAAAGGCCTTAAATTCTAAGCCTTCTATCCTTGGCAGTGTGTCACCTTGAACCCCTGAAATGTAAGCCAAGGATGTGAAGAATTGAGAACAAGTATCTTTCAGTCTAGTTGCTATATGTTAAATCTCTTCATAGTTGGTATTTCTTCTTTTGGTAATTATATTTACTGCCGTCCTGGAGTGGTTTCTAAATTATTACATTAGGAATATTTTTCTGAACATCAAATAATTTGCCTTGCTTCTTGATAAATTTGCCATTTTCTAAATATTAACTACCAAAATAAATGCCTCCCTCTCTTTGAATACCTGTCTTCTTGCCCCAGTTCAGCCAAGAGTCTTAAGACCTTGGAAATTACGCAGTCCTTTACTTGGGCCTCAGTTTTCTTGCCTGCGCCAATAAGCTTTCTACTAGGTGAAGTTCACGTTCCCTAGAAGGCCAGACGCTGAACTGGTGAGGCTGTCAGCCACATGGGCCAACAGCTCCATTGGATCATGTGTTATGTGGGGCATTGTCGGAAGCTTCTCAGAGGAACATCACAGCAGAAGCTGAGTGTGTTGCTGTGAAGCCCTCTCCATAGCTGTACCAGGGACTTGGGATGTCTGAAAAAGGATCTCTCTTGTGGCGGGGGGGGGGGGGGGGGGGGGAGCACAAAAGAGGCTAAATGAGCCTCAGGGCAGGCTAGGCTAATTTGCATGTAGCCAAACCACTTCTTTTCAAACACCAAGTTATTCCCCATGCCTTCGCCTTGGATGCCCAGTGTCTCCTGCGGTTTTCTAATGAGGCATTACTTTATAGACTCCCAAGTGCCTTTCCTTAACTTCTCATCTGATTGCCAAATTACTTACAGGAGAGCAAATTAAGTATAAACTGGTTCCCCCCAACAGTGACAGTTAAAGGACACATTGTCTCGGGAAATTTTGTTTCTTGTGAACCCCTGCTCTCTAATTGGGTCACGTATCATCCTTGGAAAAGGAATCATAAACACAAAGGGGTTAGCAAGAGCGCTCTGCCAGTTTGCTTTAGCCAATGCCTATGTCAGCCTGCAATCGCTGAGACCTTGTTGATGCGATCCTTTTCCAGGAAGCTTTTCCAGGATGGTTGCAACTGGTGCAGGGTTGCTAAGCAACCGGCTAGCCTAGCAGCCAGCATCAACTTCAGCTGATTGAACCTCCTCAGAGAGAGTGGGTTTAAGAACCAGAGCTTCCTGATTTGATCATGATTACAGGGGCCGATAGAGAGGAGAAGGAGGGGGGAGCCTGTGCTAAGTGGCAGAATATTCAGCTGCACCCCTGTCCTTCATTCTCACATAATTCAATAAGTTTGGTAACAGTATCTCACTTCTAGAGATGAGAAATCGATGCCAGGTGGGGTTAGCAACTTGCTGAAGGCCATGAAGAAACAAAGCCGAGAAGAGAATCATGCTCTGAAAAAAAGGCAGAGATGAGAAAGACTGTGACCCAGACAGAGAGTCAAAGAGAAATGGCAGTTGTGACAAGAAACAAACCTTTACAACTAGAGGTCACACATCCATTTTGAATGACAAGGTTTAAAATAGAACTCATCCAATATAATGGATCTGTCACTTAAAAGAATGGAAAAACTTACTAAAATGAAACACATGTCCAAGATGTTGATTCTCCTACAGATTGCTAAATAAATTTGGCGTTATACAAAACTAGTGAATTCACAGCTGCCTCTGCATGACCCGGTGAAGAAGACGAATCCGTCGATTCCTGAGAGAGAAGGAACAGAGGAACGTCAGAAACACAGAGGGAGCGACAGGGCAGCAGGAGTTCGGACTGAAGAAAAACATAGCACCGCATAGGAAGGCGCAAGACGTGATGAGGTCCACAGAGTACCCCAGTGGGGAAGCAACCTGGAGCAGCCACCGACCAGCACCCAGACCTATAGAACGGCTGCTACTCACCTGGGGTTAGAAACACACCGGAAGGTGCTGGTCCCTGCTTGGCAGCCTCCTGGGACCAGCAAGTTGGAAAGAGAATGGATGGGAAGCAAAGTCACGGCCAAAATCTCAATAGACTATGTCTGGAGAGAGTCCAGGACAGTGCTGCCTATGGGAGAGCCGTCGGAAGTGTGAAACAGAAGCCTAAGACTGAAATCTTCCACAAGCACCACAGGTGACTGGCCTGAGAGCGAACGCGGAAAGCAGCACCCCCCCCCCCCCCACCTCCGCCACGGTGAGCTGCAGCGTGGGAACACAAGAACGGCGCGGTGCCGGTGCGGAGCCAAGCAGTCTTGCCCAGCATTCTCGGGCATTCCATCAGGGGAAAGACTGGATCCTCAAGGGAAGATAATGCCCAGCAGAGGCAAACACAAGCCTGGGCACGTCCTCCATGGTATGTCCTCATGCCCCTCCTAAACACTGGATGTCCCGAATGGAAAGTAGGCTCCCCTGGCACACCAGAGAGAGGTGCAATTGGATGGCTAGCGTCTCCCATTAGGGAACTCCAACAGGAAGCCGTGTCCAGCATAGAAGCCGCCTCAGCAAGGGAGGACACCTAATTTGTTTGAATCACTGAGAACAGCAGCCCGCTCCCCACTGCAGAGCCGGCCACAAGGAAGAGCTATCAACGGGGTGGGGGCTGCCATGTCATCCTGCCCAGAAAGAAGCATACGCTGAGGATAGATTTCCTATTTCAATTTATTTTTCCTTGTTTTACTTTAATTCACATTTCTCTCCATTCTTTAGTTTCTTTTAATCTAATTCCTGCCTGAACAGGCTTTTATGTCTACCCTCTTTTTCTGCATCTCTTCTTCAGTGTTTTCTTAATTATGCCCCCCACACGTCTAGCCCACACACTGTTGTTCTCTCTCCTGCTCACTCCTTCCACATCTTCCGTTTGACTTGCTGTTAGTTCTTGTAACCTTAAAATACTAGAAACTGCAAGCATCCTAGTATCCCTGTCTCGGGGCCTTATTGGGGACACAACTGCTCTGGCTTTTAGTTTATTTTGTTTTTTACTCTATGAATACCAAGACTGCTGTAACCAGTCACTTCTGTCCATGCAGTTTGCTTCCCCCGAGAGTAGTAAGGAGGAGGAATCCAAGCCAAAACAGGTGGCTCAGAAGACGCCCATAAACTACAGCCAAGAAGCCACAAAGGGCAAAGCAAACCCTGGAGTACCAAGAGCCCAGCAGATGTACAGAAGAGATCAAGGAAACAGAACGCGTGTGAGAAATCAAGCTGCTCTCACATAACTCCTCAGAGGCAGACAACAAGGTCTGGGCAGCTAATGCCAGAAAATTCCAGGCTCTTACTGCTTAACAGGAGCGGTCGCCACATAGAGGCCTCAGACAGCAAATAAGTGAAGAAAGAAAATCTTCTGCCTGCACAGACACACACACATGCGCACACACACCACGCTAAATATCATATATATATATATATGTAACATAATATCAAATATTATATAATATATAAAATCTACTAACCCCTACAAGGCAAACACAACAAACTCACACTGGCTCTCTCATCAGCGACTCTTTAAAAACCAGGGAAGCGTGGAATGATAGTTTCAAATCCCAAAGGTAAATCGCTGCCAATGAGACTGCTATATCGAGCAAAGCCTCCTTCTAATACTGATGGGGAAGAGTAAGGACGTTTGAAGACCAGCACCACTAAGGCACTTCACGACATCCCTGCCAGCCCCGAAGAAGAAGCTCAAAGCACTGTAATGCAAAAGGTGAGGAAAAATAGCCCAAACCCCAGGGGACAGGAAAGAATACAGTTGAGGATAAAAATAGACGGAAGAGGACTCCATCACCACCCCTATCCAGGAAACCAACAAGCCCATAAGCCCAACAGGAGAGAAAGAAAGGAACACCTAATAATCCAACACACCAGAAAAATCACCCACAGTATTTCTAGACATTGCTCAGTAATGACAGTAATGTAAATAGCATCAACTTGGCTGGCCAGGGCTGGAGAGATGGCTCAGCAGTTAAGAGTACTGACTGTTTTTTTCCAGAGGACCCAGGTTCAATTCCCAGCACCCACATGGAGATCCATGACCATCTGTAACTCCAGTTTCAAGGGATTCAAAAACATCAGCTGGCTTCCACAGGCACTAGGCATGCAAATGGTGCACAGATATACATGGAACCAAAATGCCCATATACATAAAATAAAAATAAATAAATCTCTCAAAACAAGATCAAATCTTCTAGTTCTTCCTAATCGTGTAACTTTTAAGCTCCTTACTGTGAATTAATGCCACATTCCCAAGTAACAGTGGCTACCCTCTGGCTTCCCCCTCTGCTTTAGAAATTGAAATTTGACATTTCAAAAACTGCTGTGACCAAAACAACTTGCAAAAGAACTATGAGTTAGTGTTGGAGAAGGCAGCGCAAAGGTGGCAGGAGCAGGAAACTGTGGGTTTACATCTTGAACCAAAAGCAAGAGACAGCAAGAGCACTGTGGAGGGTGTAAACCTCAAAGCCCCGCCCTCAGTGACGAGCTTCCTTTGGCAAGAACGCCTCCTAAACCTATCCCAACGGCTCCACTAAGTATTCAAACACCCGAGACTATGGGGAGACATCTTATTCAAACCACTATGCCCCCCCCCACTTAGTCAGTCCCATCTTCTGCTGTAACAAAAGTAACTTGCTTACACTGTGCTACCATGCAGCGTAGCTGTGAGCAGACAGTTTGTGTTCCCGGTGAAGAAATGTCCATGGATGAGAATCAGCACTTTTGAGTTCTTAGCTGCTGCCACGAAATAGTATTTGTTCACTCTTTGTACTAATCAGGTTAGATAAGGAGTCCAAGAAGACAGAACGTAGAAATGGTGACGTCTGAACCTCCAAATGCCCCTCACTCTGAAGCCCTTGCTCTCAGAGCACCCCAGCATGGCGCCCCCATAGAACCGCTGTTCTGGGATTCAGCAGCAGAGGGCGCCACTTAGCACAATTCCCACCTCCACCTCCTGTCCTATCACTAAAAGATATACAGAAGTCCAAAAGATACAGTTTCTCAGACTAGCTGAAAACTACCAGGAAAAAAAAAAATTTCATAAAAGACAATTCAGGATCATAGCTAAAGGAGTATACACCTATCTGTATATGTATTTTATGATTGATCCTTTTAGTGGAGCCAGCGAGAATGGCCGAGGGAACCGGAGAGATGGCTCAGCAGCTGAGGGAGTATGCTCTTGCAGAATACTAAATGCTGTCCCAGCACTAATGTCAGGTGGCTCACAACTGTCTGTAACTCCAGTTCCAGGGAACCTGACCCTCTCTCTGGCCCCTGAGGGCACCTGCGTTCACACTTGCACATGCCCACACGCAGGCATGCACATATGCACGTCATTTCAAATAAAATAAATCTTCCAAAAAGAATGGATCAGACTCTTATGAGATATGTGGGGCCTGGACCGGCACTGCCAGTTTGTGCCATTGGAGCTCAGTACGGGATGAGGGTTTCCCTCCTGACGCACCTGTGCCTACCCCACACTCAGAGGTCACTCAGCTTGGTAGTTTTTATTTTGTCTGCTGGGTTTAATGCAGAGGGAACACGGGGCGGCCGGGTTTACTGCAGAGGGAACACGGGGCGGCCGGGTTTACTGCAGAGGGAACACGGGGCGGCCGAGATAACGGCCAAGAGTCCTTACTGTGGTCACTGCAGCAGGAATGGTTCGTTTTCGTAATAGCTATCAATTTCTTTTCTGTTACAGAGGCTCCCCAGATCGAGATGGGATGGTAAGTATTTCAATGACCATTTTCAGCAGGTTCTCACCTCAGTATACGCTATACTTAAGTATCCCAAAGGCCAGTTTCTCTCGCCTGCTCTTTCCTCCCTCCTGCCCTCTACCTTGCAGGACTTCTCAAAAGCCCAACTATTTTCATTCTCTCTAGTAAGCATACATGAGAAATCAGTGTGGTCCTCGACAAGTTAGACTTTATCTACTGCGCTTACCTAGAGCCCACAAGCAAACTAACTGTAGAGATGGCAGAGCCAAAGCCAGAGAGCTAATGCAGGGGCTGCGCCCGCTGACTGCTACTTCATCTCCAGCTCAGTGATGTAAAGCTCACTATGGGAGAACGTTCTTCTCCAGTGGCACCACCGTGGTAGAGGAACTGCTTCCCAATAAAACTTTCCCCTTGAGGAGCTGGGCTGCAAATACGTTTTCTATATTAAATTCAGAAAAAGGGAGTGGTCTTGAAACTACATGTGCCTGAAATTTACCGCCTGGAGGAGAAAAATGCACCCACTGGGTTTCAATTTAGCAGGAAGCGACTCCTAACTGGCTGCCAGATCTTTTGGTTTTTTAAAGAGGTCTGGGGTATGCCAGCTCAGAACGCTCCACGTCCGAGTCTACCCTGGCTTCTGAAATGACTTTCCCTTCCCATCTAATCAGCTGCCTATTCAGAAGGTTCTAAAGAACAGCTGTCATGGAGGGGGAATGGACACACATTAAGCTCCCTGGGCCAGAGTGAGAACTAAAATAAATCCGGCAGTTAAAAACTGCTCCTTATATAGTGTACCTAATGGGGCGCTAATTGCAGCCACAGTGGGAGTTTTTCTCCTGCACTTGACTTATGAGTTTTTGGCTTTGGGGTACCTTTTGCATTCATGTGATTCTCGCTATGAAATGGTTTTGAAAACGTAGAAAGGAATTGCTCAGACTTTGGGGCCCTTTATAATCCAGGCTCTATCCAGCAGGGGAACAAAAAGGCCCAGAAGACCCAGCTTCTCCTCACCTCTTGCTTCTGGCTCAGAGCCCTCTCCTTAACTCTGTCTCAGGTACTCTCTGCTTCTGTGTCTTCTCTTTGCTTCTGGCTGGGTCCTCTCCCTGGGTCCTTCTGTCTTTCTGTCCACACCTTCACCAGGCTCTGTCATCTCCTCGGCCCTTCCTGGATGCTACTCCTGGCTTTTCTCACCCTTCCACTCTCTCTGTCTTGTCTTTATTTTTTTCTTTCTCCCACCCCCTGCTCATTGTCTCTGAGGCCCTGTTGCTACCTCTCTGGTCTCTGCTCTTCCGAGGAGCCCCAGCTTACACATCTGCTGGATTCTGTACCATGGTACCTGATGTTGAAAACTACCATGTACAATTCGCTGCAGGCATGGGCCCAGTGCCATTCAGGTCTCCTCGAGCCTTCCTTGAGCCATCCCAATTCCTGTAAAAATCACTTAATTAGCAGTTGTGTCCTCCCCATTGTTAGTTAGAAATGTCATAAATATATGTTGATAAGAAAGAGGGATTATTTAATTTCATTTCTTCCAGAAATAACACAAGACCTATTCTGGAAAAAGGCCACATTCAATTCAAAATAAGTGCATTTTCTCAACAACAGCGAAAAAAAAAGTGGAAATTATTAGTCAGAGGCAAGTTCTTTGGAAAATGTTCAAATTTCTCCCAAACACTCGGCCACCAAATTCTGAAGCCCAATGCTGTGGGCTAAAGTGAATATCTCTGTTATTGGTCTGTAGACATCTCAGCCTACAATTCAGAAAAAATTCAGAAATTTTTTTTCTGAACTCAAAATGAGTTTTTTTAAGACCTTGGATCTATGGACTGAAACCACTTGGATCTGTTTGAGGCCCCTTGCAAGCCACTGCCTGCCGTTTCGAGGCCCAGGGTTTGAGTCTACACTTTCACTCATATGAATCTACAAGCTGCAGGTGCTGTCAGCTAGAAAGAAGTTGGTACCCAAAATGTCCATGCCAACACCTCAGTGTAGCGATACTTAATTTCAATTCCTCAGCGCCTGATGGAGCCCATCACTGATGAGGCTGCATGGCCGGGCTGCATGGTGTGAAGGTGGATGTGTCTTGCTACTCACCAGCTAAGTGTACACCCCATCCATCATGGGCAGACCTGTTTGTCACAATGTCTAGACCTCAGGTAACTGTGTGCGACAACACATTCTAACCCAGAGACAAACTCTAACTGGTCCAGGGCAGACCTGTACTTTCCCTAAACAGTTTCCATTCTCCACAAATACGCTGGGGTACCAGGGTCAGAGTCCCAGGCTATGAGAACTGTTCTGCTTGTCTCTAAACATGCAGACAGGAAAGGGCAGAGGTCTGGAACTGTCCTCTATGTGCCCTGTGGGTCTCTGTTGGCCTTTCAGAAGGCTTCGACAAGAGGAAAGGAGAGGAGCTACGTGTTCCATCCGTAGATTAGCAGTGCAATCAGAAATTGCCCAGTTCCTTCTCATATTATCTAGGTGTCTGTTCTGTATTCATAGGATAAGAACCCTCTGAACGAGGACCCAAATGGTCCCTGGTGCCCTGCCCCTCTTCCAGCTTCTCCCTTCCTCTCTTGGCTTAGCCCAAGTGGCCTGCTGAATAGAGCCTCATGTATGGGCCCCAAAGTCTGCTCTTTGCTTACAGAGCCCTGCCATGCTGGGCAGGCTGCACAATTGGGTCTAGAGGTTGTCTCGACTGTGATATGTTTGCTGACTCCGTGTGATTCTTTATATATGTCTCGAAGAACAAACAGATATCCTTTAACAACTTTTTTCTACATGAACACAATCAATTCCAGCAGCCCAGCCCACACGAGCCACCCTACCATAGCAAAGCAGAGTGTGCGCGGGAAGGAGGCAAGAAGGCGTCGGTAAGGACACAGATTTTAGTTTAACAATTCCGAGGGGTTGTAGAAACAGTGAGTCAAATCCCCACCTCGAATCTGGAAAGCACAGTAGCACTACGTATTCAGCAAGGTAACTGCAAATTACTACCCAGGTCTGGGTTTCAAATCAACCCTAACGACTTCTTGTGCTGGTTGATGTCTAGCTGCTGTTTTAAAGAATGAGTAAGCCTAAAGGCTTACGTCGTCTTTTGTCTTAGACAAAGGACAGGGATTTCAGTGCTTCAGATTTTTAAAAGAATTTGTTGTCTGTAAAGATGACTTTGACGGCAATATGAATGTCAGCATGACATTTGAGTTGGATTGATCTTGGTAAAGTTAAGTACCATCTGTAGCAATAATCTCAGGAGTTTGGTAGGACCTTCCCTTGTGGAAACCGGTAATCTTAACCAAGAAATCTAGAGTCAAGGATGCTGATTTGGGGTCAGACTTTGCATTAACTCCAGCTATGCAGCTCTAAAAAGCTATTTAATTAAAATTCAGCCCCTTGGTCTCACTTGGTTTCAAATATTAGCTAGCTACTCCTATTTAGTAGCTGTGAACGGAGCAACCCAGAGGGTGTTTTCCCCCTTACAGGGAGTTCCAGTGGCCAGTGCTGTCTTGTAAGATTGTTTCCAAAGTAATTTACATCTACTTAGGAGAAGAGAAGATAATATTTTGACAGTATATCACATATTTTTAAGGTCATTGTGTAACTGTAAACTGACCTCACATAAAACAGGGCCATTCACAGTGGAAACATAGAACTTGGTTGAGTGTATAATTGAGAAAAATCATGATTGCAGACATTGATCTAGCCCAGTGGTTCTCAGCCTTCCTAAGGCTGTGATACTTTAATACAGTTCCTCATGGGATGGTGACCCCAAGCATACAATTAGTTTGCTGCTTTGTAACTGTAATTTTGCTACTGTTGTGAATCATAATGTAAATATCTGATATGTAGGATATCTGATATGGGGCCCCTGTGAAAGTGTTGTTTGACTCCCCCTAAATGGGTCGGTGACCCACAAGGTGAGAACCACTGGTCTAGCTCATCACATTATCTGAAGATGGTAAGAGAACTAATGACCTCCCCATGAGTGTCAATCCAGTACAAAAATTCAGGATATAAAAGTTATACTAGATAAATACAGAATTTTAGAAAAGAGAAACAATGGGGAAAAAGCATATCACTCAGATTCCACGAAGTAAAAATAATCAGTGTTTAGGTTTCCGTGGAAGCTGGGGCTCACTGCAGCCTTAGGTCCCGCTGTCCAGTGTGCCCTCACCACATCCCTCCCTGCTTGGAAGTCTTCTGTTGAAAACTGGGACAGCCACCAGCTATGAGCTGTGCCTTGTTCAGTCTTTAAAGACAAGAATGACTTTCCCTTGTGCTTAACCAGAAGAATCCCAGTTAAACCTGGCTGCCCTTTAATGTGGTCATGTTCACGTGTGAAACAAAAGGTATTTGTTAGAGTAATTGAGCATGAAGGAGAAGGAATCGCCAGTCTCTCTAATAGAGTTGCATGGGTGCATGTGTGCACATGTATACTCGTGTGTTTGTGTGTGTGTGTGTGTGTGTGTGTGTGTGTGTGTGTGTGGAGTGCTGAGTATCTGACAAAAAGAATGTATTGTTACAATCTGTTGTCTGAATTAAGTATTTGTTTTTAAAATGTTTGTCATAAAACAAACAAATTTTTTAGGGTTTTCTTTTCCTTGTTTCAATCTTCCATTGGTGTCCATAGAAACAAGGAAATGTTTACTAGGCCCAAATATAGAAATTTAGTATATTCTTTATTCAAGTGTTGGATATATGTTGTCAAGAAAAAAATATATCTATACTAACACATACATATGTATATATATTTATTTATCTGAGCATGTAGGATATTTTGAATTTGAGGAACTTTAACCACAGAGTATTATCAGAGAAGAAAGCTGTAGAACTAGACAAATCGTGAACTCATTAATTTACCTAATTTCATTGAATTTATAGTAACAATACTTTGTACAGAGGAATTTAGAAACTAGAAAGCATTGGTGGCGGTGTTACACCAATAACAATATCCATGGGTTTGTGTCTCTGGAGTCAATTTAGTTTATCTGATTCCCTATTAGTATAAGTCAGGTTTTCTGTGGAACTTGGTTGTTACATATGCTTTCTAAGGAGTTGAAGCATCTTGCAGTAAAAACACACACAGACCGATTAGTAAAGCAGGAACTACATCGATAGAAATAAGAGGCAGGCCTGTCTCCAGGAGAGGTCATGAACGATTAAGTTGACCATGTTCTCAACAGTAGCATTGTAATGCACACAGGCAGAGATCATATGACAGGTCTGAGAGGCCTTTGACATACTGGGCAGACCGCCACTGAAGCTCAAACCTCACGGAAACAGTCCTATGGGAAGACCGAAATGTTGCCTGCATAGAAGTCATCTTTGTAATAAATGGGGAAAAGATTTGATCAGCATAGGCCCCATGTTCCTGGTTGCAGTGATATTCAGTAGCAAGGGAAAAGTACATCACTTATACCTCATGAACTATGCCCCTCACTGAGCCTTGGTTTGTTCTCAGAATGCCCAGGCAACATTCCGGAAGTGTTAATGAATATTGATGGTTCTGGGTTTCCTATTAATCCTCTGTGCATATGCAAAGAGCTCCCTCCTATTTGTCCACTTAGATTGCCAGCTACACTGTAATGCAAGTGGCCTTACTTGTGATTGGAAAATGAAAGGCCCTGTCCTCCAACCCTATAGCTCACCAGATGTGTGGTTCCGAAGTCTGCTGTTGCTGGATGGCATAGCGTCATTTTGTGTGCTAAATGCAAGAATGTTGTTGAGTCAACCTTTTGTCGTTAACCTCGTCTGTGCTTTTGTCTGACAAAATAGAGACGCTTATTAATATCCTCCTGGAGGGCACCACATCCTTGATCAAGTACTTGTGTTCCTAAGTCACAATTATTCTATGAACCAAAATAAAACTTAGATAAGAAGCAGAACCATACTGATTTCCTATCTTCTTGCAATTGCGTGTGCTAGTGGAGGCACAGGACACACGGAAAGAGAAGGCCCATTAATCTTCAAATTCTGTTTTCATAATCTGCTAAAAGGGGTCACTTGGGAAGAATAGCAGCATGATTTCCAGTGACCAGGAGCTGAATGAACTCATCTATAGGCGATTCCATTTATATTTTATCAATTGAGTCAGTGGTTAAAAAAAAAAAGTAATTACTGACTCAGCTGAATGCTCAGGTATATTGAAATTATTTATACATCAGCAGCACAGATGTCAAAGGTTTCTATTTAAAATCCATATGTATAATTTTAATCCTCAAGATCTAGACAATTAAGTCACAATGTCAACCCTCCAAGTCCATCACGGGTAAAATCTGGACAGCTGGCTATGCGTGCCCCCGTGCCTGGTTTGCAGTCTTGCGAAATATGCACAGAGGCTTCTCATTCAGTGCCACGGCAGCTGCTTCACCACCCAGCTACACCAATGTGCTCTTTACCATAGGATGCTCCAACCTGTCTTTCCGGTGCTGGATTTTGATAGCTCATTCTAAGTACAGATAAGACTTAGGCGATTTTCTCCCGTGGTGTCGGTTTGGTTTTGTTTTGTCTTTCATTCAAATATTTCCCTCCTAAATCTATTTTCAAATTTATTACAGAAAAAAAGCAACGGGGCACCAAATGGATTCTATGCAGAAATTGATTGGGAAAGATATGTAAGTATAAGCATGTTTACAACCGTTGGAATGAACTGATACATTGTATGCACTTAGATACATAAGAGGACATAGAAATACGTATAAAACTCCATTTCGTTTGGAAGTGTCTGCAGCGTTTAGGATGCAGTGAGTTTCACAGCACTAAAGTCTATCAAACCTGGCTTCGAGACCTGGCCCTCTAGGTCCTCGCTGTTATATGGCCCATAATACTCAGGGAAGCACCTGTCTGGTGCCGCGCTGCTGTAAGGACCCTGGGCTAATTGCTTGCACATCCCAGGAACATACCAAGCCAACAGCTGTATCCAAAAATACTTTTTCTCTGGTCAAATCTAGGTGATTCTCTTTGTAAGCAGCTTTGAATGTGAAAGCTAAAAAGTTAACTACCGAGCCGGGATCACGTGAGGAGAGCTATAGGGTACGAACTTTTCCCGGGTCAAGTGACGGTCAGTTGATTCTCAGGGAGCGGAGGTAGATTTCGACTGAGATCTAAAGTTCCCCCATAATTCCTTGCACCATTCCAGTACACCTCACTAACCACAGCAGAGCAGCCAGCTCATTCAGCCTGGACGACCCGCAGATTTCTGACCATACAGAATATGTATACAGTGTAGGTCGTTTTTGCATCAGAGAGCTCTCACCGCTACGCCCCGTCCCAACCTTAGCAGGGTAACCTACGCTGTCCTTCCTTCCTCTTGGCTGAGGACACAGCCTCAAACCACATGGAGTCCAGGACCAAGTCAGACTGATGCGGACACGCTATCTGATGGTGTTTAGTTTAGTTTCGAGTTATTGAGCTCACTATTGCCATGTGGAATTTTCATGTCCCTCAATGAAACTTTCACACATTAATAATAGGAGCTAAGACGTGAAATATGAACCTCACTATGCACACTGTTGCTGTGTTTTGTTTTTTGTTTGTTTTTGTCTTTTTCAACTTTTCCCCTAAAAGTGTTAGCTTTTTGCTGTTAGATTCATCTAGCAGTCCATCTCCCAGGGCTGGAGGTAGAAACTTTAGCTCCTCTTGAAACTCCCCTCTTCTTTTTTTCTCCTGCCACCAAGAACTTACCATCCGTCCCTCCAAATGTCCTTGGTTCATCCATTCCGCCACCAAAACTCGAGGCGCACACAGGCTTAGCAATCGTGCCTGAGTTGATACACGTATTTTAAATGAGTCATCCTTTCTCCTGACTCCAATTGCCTTAGCAATCTGTCCCCAGCACGTTCTACTGTAAGAAACTTCAGTAGCCCTAGCAAGACTAAACCCCCACCCTAGCACACAGTCACTGTTGCCCAGACACCAGCCCCACCCCCACTGTATAGCCATCATCCTTGTTTCTGTGGCCTTTGTCACCGGAGTCACACAATGTCTGTTCCTGCCATGGTATCTCACCCTAGGCTCTTCTCACCACTGTGGAGAGACCCCACCTGCATCTCTATCTGCACTGAAAGGCTCCAGCCGCCCCCTTTTTTCTTACAAACTAAGCTAACTGTCCCCTGATTTTTAACATCTAATACTGCTATCTTGTGCTATTTTCCTTTATAATTTTTGCCTCGGAGAATATGTTTTTATTTCCCTGAGGGCAAATTGTTTGCATTTCAATCACCCACGTTGCTTGGCCCAGTCTGTGGCTTAGGAAAGACCTGAGACGCACTGGAAATACTTTCTTTTGCAAACAGCAAATTGAGGTCCTTCCAATATCCTTGGACAAAGATTTGAACATAGGCTGCTTAGCATTCACTTCCAAAAGCTAAATCCTCAGCCCCTTAAAATAAGAGACTGTCTATATTCTTAAGTAGAAGATTCTAGAAAGAAAACAATTTCTCCATCATTTGGGGAAAATAACCACCTAACATGCATTTTTAACTTTTTTTTTCGAAATTTGAAAGAGGAATACTGTGTTTATGTCATGTCCACCCTTGTCTCTCCAGCCTCCAGGCTTTCATGTGCCCCCAACTTCCTCTCAGTTATTCTTCAATATTACTGTTACATGTATATATGTGTATGTGCATGTGTATACATGTATTCACACACATATGTATGTGCATTTGTGTCTTACAGAACTCTCCTGAGCTGGATGAAGAAGGATACAGCATCAGACCTGAAGAACCAGGCTATATCCTTTCTTTTTAAATTTTTTAAACTTATATTTTCTCAGGAACCAGGAAGCTAAATTCAGGTCTCACAAAGGTAATGAAATAACCAAAGCTACTATTCTTAGCCTCACAGGTGAATAACTAGCTGAGAGGACAGCCCAAGGGCTAATGAGCGTGCACATTCCGTGATCTGGTCAAGAAACAGAGAGAAAGCACCAGGACAGAGAAAAATGTGCGGTAAAGCCGCCTGCACACTTGTGACCCTGGCTTGTCTGCTGAACCGTAATATGACAGTGTCATTTACAGTGAATGGCAAAGAGCTTTACTGCCCTCTCCTCCGACACTCCCCTGAAGGGCTCAGGCAGCCTTGTCTTACTCTGGCCAACTGCAAAGCACTTAAGACTCTCTATTGGTGTCCCTTAAAGTAGCCTTCCAGTGTGTAGAGACAAGAAAGTTTATGAGTTCCTGTCTGTGCTCTGGGTGTGAGACACAATGTTCACCTGTCACAAAAAGAAAAAAGAAGGAAGGAAAGAAAGACAGAGAGAAAGAAAGAAAAAGAGAGGGAAGAGGAAAGGAGGAAGGAGAGAGGTAGGAAGGGAAGAAAGAAAGAGAGAAAGAAAGGAGGAAAGAAAGAAAAGAAAAAAGAGAAAGGGAAAAAGAAGGAAAGAAAGAAAAAGAGAGAGAAAGGAAAAAGGAAGGAAGGAACAAAGGAAGAAAGGAAGGAAGGAAGGAAGGAAAGAAAGAAAGGAAAGAAAGAAGGAAAGAAAGAAAGAAAGAAAAAGAAAGAAAGAAAGAAAAAAAGAAAGAAAGAAAGAAAAGGAAAGGAAATGTAGGATCTTGACCAGTACTCTTCAAAGTTCATGGTCCTTGCTCAGGTTTCTGAATAACCCTAACCTTTTCCTCCTTCGATTCTGTTTTGCTTTGTTTCCTGCCATCTGAGGTTGCTTTGGCTGTGTCTACCTGCAGTCATTCTTGTCATGTCCTCACCAATATCTCTCAGCAGAAGAAAGAGCTAAGTGTCCTTAACTGTGTTCTACCTACCAAAGGAAAGCACTTTTATTCTTCAAGTGAATCCGAAGAGGAAGAAGAATCGCACAAGAAGTTCAACATCAAGATTAAACCGTTGCAGTCGAAGGACGTCCTTAAGAACGCTGCCACGGTAGATGAGCTGAAGGCTTCAATAGGCAACATCGCGCTCTCCCCGTCGCCTGTGGTGAGTGGAGTCCTCCTGTTAAGCTTTGGTGAGGTTGGGCGGAGAGCCGGGTCCTAGCACAGGTGCTACCGGCCTCCTGTGTCCAGTCTGGTGAGTTCTGAAGCCCCGGGGTAACTCCCTCTTTCTCTCTTCTATTGCGGTTCCTGTGCCTTCCAAACTAGTAAATATGCAGGGAATGGTGTCTTCTTTTGTTTTCTAATAATCTTCAGACAAAGAAAAAAAATAAGAAAAAGATCTTTCAGACTTCTAAAGGAGACTTGATTTTAAAAGAATATGAATTTCACAGGTTCAGGAGCGATGTTTTAAAAACACATCTTGGTTTCTGTCTTCATGAAATTACACAAAAGCCAAGAAAATTGCTTTTAAAAACACTTCCCCTTGAGATGCTCCAAAATCATAGTAAATAAATAAAATCTCACTAGATTTCTAAAACTCAGATTCTTCATTATATTGTATCCTCAAATTGTTTTAAATACTCTTGGAACTTAGAATCCTCATGCACAGTCGTTGCCTTATTTATATCATGCTAATTGGTCTTCCCCCATGATCCAGGCTTCCAGTTCCCATTCCTGCCTACTGCATTTCTTCGGTTGCTGAGTTCTGAGTGCTAATATTTTAAGTATTTTCCCCCTGGGATTTGAAAAACGCCAACATCGTCTTCTAAGAATAGCTGTGAACACAGATGCTAGCTCACTAATGAGATTCTTTCTCTTGGCTTCTCCAGGGACCATCCCCGCCAATGGGCTGGTTAGTAAATGCTAACCACTTTCTAGGGGCCTTTAGAAATATCTCAACTAACCTTTGTACAGCTATTGTAGTTGTTTATCCTATGAGAATAAAATTTTGTCTTCCTAGGATAAAAAAAAATATTTAAAACAAATCTTAGTGCTTACAGTGGAATTTATCCCATATGTTGGCGACAATTAAAACGATTTCTCAGAGTAACCCACACATTGCAAATGGACCTCCCAGTATTTCTTCATCGTATCTTCACCTGCTACCTTAACAAAAGCATGAAATGCCATTTCTTTCTCCCCTTCAACGGAAAGCACAGATTTTAAACTCACGTGCTGGCCTATGATTTGTAGTCATGGACGCCCTAGGTAAAACACCCCCTTTCCAGCTGACTTCTTGCTTATCACCTTTCGCTTCCTGAGTCACTGTGGATCTTTCTCAACTGTAGAAAAATCTATTCAAATGTCAGAAACAAGTTTCTGTCCCCTTCTCTGTAGGACTCAAAATAATAAATTGAGTGGGTCTTTGGGAGTTGCATGAGGAGGTGGAAGAGGCAAGTCTACCTGATTAAGTGGATGACTGCACAGGGAAGTGGGCTTTCTATATGGATCCCAGAGTCATAGCTTAAAGTTCATTGAATCTAGGCCGGGGGGATCCACTGTGTCAAAATGGATGTGTGTCCAAGTGACTTTGTGCATCTACTCCTCCAATCTGGTGTGCTGCTGAGACACAGTGAGAAAAGTGTCTGGAAGCCAGAAGCTTCCTCAGAAGCTACCTTTCAGGTAAGCGGCTCCCACCAGGTGGTTAAGGCACAGAAAAGAGGTCTTAGAAACAGAGGGAAAGTAGATGCACACACCCTGGGATCACAGTTAGGAGTTAGGTGCTCCACTCACAGGTTGGAGGGCTACTCTCCTGGCCCCATCCCACAGCCCAATTTGCTCCCTTTGGCATAGAATATTCTTTCATAAGGGACACTCCTATGTATTTGTAATTTTGATATTTAGACTAGAAATAAGCTCTTGTCACTCTTTTAGGGACAGTTCCATCATCGGGTTTTTTTTTCTACCACCAGCCCCAAATAATGACCCAGAGATTTATTATTAACTCTGGAAGCTTAGCCTCAGTTTCGGCTGGACCCACTAGTTCTTATAACTAAATTAACCCCTTTATATTCATCTACATTTTGCCTTGTGTTGTTTTTGTTTTTTACTTTTCTTTCATTCTGTATGTCTGACTTCCTCCATCTCTCATTAGCATCTCTCTCACATTCTAGAATCATCCCAAGTTCCTCTCTTTTTCTAAAAGTTCTGTCTAGCTCTCCTGCCTCGCTATTAGCCATTCAGCTTTTTATCACAGCAATCACAGCAACACATCTTAACACGGTGTACAAATATCCCACAACATTTCCCCTTTTGTCTAAATAAAAAGGAAAGAGTTTACCTCTTTTTAAAAATTAATTTTTAAAAACCCTATCTTTTCTCATTTTACATATCAATCCCAGTTCCCACTCCCTCCCCTCCCCCCACGCTCTCCGCCTTTCCTCACATCCCACCCCCATCCATCCTCAGAGAGGGGAAGTTTTCCCATGGGATGCCAACCAAGTCTAGCACATTGCTTTGAGGCAGGACCAAGGCCCTCTTCACTGTTATTTAGGCTGACCAAGATGTCCCTTCAAAGAGAATGGATTCTAAAAAGCCAGTACAAGCAGTCGGGATAAATCCTGGTCTCACTGCCAGTAGCCCCAGTCTTCCCAGTCATACAACTGTCACCCACTTTTAGAGGGCCTACTTTGATCCTATGCTGGTTCCCCCACTGTCAGACCAGAGTTGGTGGGCTCCCATTAGATCAGGTAAGCTGTCTCAATGGGTGTCCCCATCATGGTCTTGACCTCTTTGCTTGTATTCTCACTCCTCCCACTCTTCAACTGAAATTTGGGAGCTCAGCCCCGTGCTCCACTGTGGGTCTCTGTGTCTGCTTCCATCAGTTGCTGGATGAAGGTTCTATGATGACATTTAAGATAGTCATCAATCTGACTACAGGGCAAGGCCAGTTCAAGCAACCTCTACCCTATTACTTAGGATCTTAGCTTAGCTGGGGTCAACCTTCTGGATTCCTGAAAATTTCTCTAGTGCCAGGTTTCTTGCTAACCCCATAATGGCTCTCAATCAAGGTACATCTTACCTTGCTCTCTGTCTCTGTCCTTCCCCCATGCTGACTATCCCATTCCCTCAAGTTTTCTGCCTCTCCTCCCCGCTTCTGCCCTCCTTTCTCCCTCCACCTAAGAGTTTAATTCTTAACACAGTAAAAACTATATATAATTAGAACAATTATAAGGTAAGAATTACATTTATAATATTAAGTCCATGTGTTTGACATTTTTGGAGAAAATGTTTATTATCTATCCAATCTTAGTAGATCCCAAGTTTTATACCTAATTCACTTTTTATCCTAACATGTACTACCAACCCAAAAGTATCTTTCTAGACCTCAAACCATTTTCATATATAAACAATCTAAGCTTTTATGTCTCTCAACCTTGTATACTTTACACCTCTTTTATGAGTTTTTTTGAAACTTTGGTAGCGAGGAAAACTGTAAATAACTATACAGCCTTCAACCCCATCAAAGACCTGAGAAGGATTTAATATTACCTAAGTTAAACAGGAAGGGTAGAGAAAACAATATCCAAAACTATGAAATAACAGAGACAACCGGCTACCTGGAGAGTCACCCCAGGGTTCCTCTGAGACATTGGAGCATCCATCTTTAGCCTACAGGTCTAAAATATCTGGTAGACTCTTCTGTGAAGCAGGAAGTTTTGAAGAATTGTCCTACCTTGTTTTGGCAAAATGTAGCAGTCACTTTCTTTTGTGTCCTGTTGAAGCATGCTGTCAGCAGTTGAGGCAAAAAAAAAAGTTCTTTATCCAGTGGCTAACTTTTTCCACAAAGAAAGCAAACGCCATGTAGAGGTTCTTTAATGCCCTTCATCCTTTTTTGAAGTAGATTGGTGCTGCCAATAGAAGCCATGTCTCACTGTCATGAAAAGCCTTATTGAAACATCTTAAATGTCATAGTCTGTGGGTCTCTGAAATGTTTGAAGACCATCTAACTAAATATATCTCTGTTTGACCTTGAAAAGATACTTAACATGGCTACCAGTTTGATTATTATAGATGACTAACTACTAATCTACATTTCTTATCCTACATAACTTTCAAGGATCAGAATTTTACATTACATTTTTAAATGAGCTACATAGGTACAAATATCTTAAACAAGAAATAAAAACATATATACAGTATATTGTAACAAAAATAACCTTCAATTTTTATTAATATACAAAAATCCATACTAATGTAAAATATTTGAGACTGGCAAAACTAGATTCAATAATCTATGCTTTTATCCTATCACTCCCATATCCCCCTTTTTTTTCTTTTCAGAAAGAGATCCTTGAATCCAATATTCTTTTCTTAATTTTTTTTCCTGACCATGACCAGGTACAGAATGTGCAATGTGCACAAGTCAGTTATGGATAATTTTTTGTTCTGTGTTGGAGAAGGTAAAATGCATCTATCAACTTTATAAGTCAGTTTGGACTGTATAACCAAATTATAAATTCCCATCCATGTCATATGAAAAGACGACATGTAATAATAAGTCATAAGTACTCTGTAGCCAACAAGATTTATCATGGCTCACTCAGTCTCAGAGCTGCTCCCATAGTAGAAGGGTCAGCGTATACATCACCTGCCCTGTAGTCTGTCTTGGTTTCTTTTCTTGTGTCTGTAGCCAAGACTTTCAGGAGGTCTTCCCCAATTAAATCTGATCTTTAGTAATTTTGAAGAGAACCATAACTTTTTGCTTCCTGTGGAAAAAGGGCATAAATTCTTCCCCAATACAACGCATTTTACTTTCATTTTGAATTTAATATGTTCTGATTAAAATATATAGTTTGGTTTAATTCAACAGTTTCCAGAATCTGATGTCCCTCAGTAGCTTTTTATATATATATATTAGCGTTAAAAAATGAAAGACAAGAAATCACCATACAGGATCCAGTTAGCCTATATATTTTCCACTTTCTATGGCTTTTTTATATTACTTTATTCTTTCTTTAGAGCCTTTACTTTTATTAATTTTTAAACTATTTATTTATTTATTTATTTTCTATGGCTTGTCTATACCCATTTTCCTCTCTTTCCTTGGCATCTAAGCACATGTTTAAACATACTGTATTGTTTTCAAAGCTTTCTGGATCTGGA